CAATCCCTTCTCTTCCATTTTCCTCTAGGGATCTTGGCATGCACGCACACACGCCTGGCATGAGTTTAAAACACCGGGTCCAGGACTCAAACTGCGGTTGGCTACATAGGAATCCAACGACATAGCCATTACGCTAACTGCTGGTCCCATTTTTTTAAATAAAGTTTTTCTAGTTTTCAGCATGCAAATTTTGCACATAATTCTCTTTTTGGTGTTATTAGAAATGGTACTTTTAAGTTTTAACTTGTAATTGATCATTGCTAATGTGTACATATTTGTGTGTGTATTTATATATATAAAATATATTAACAAAATTGAATTTTTGCATGTTACTCTCTTTTAACCTGCTGCTGATGACAAAGGAGAGAAAGTTAAGAAAACATTCAGTAAATGAAATGGAGCTAAAAAGAGAGGAATAACCACATTTATAAAACTTGCCTAATAAGAGTGAGGCATTCAGTAAATGAATTGGAGCTAAAAAGAGAATAATCACATTTATAAAACTTGCCTAATAAGAGTGAGAGAAGTTAGAATACTCTTAAAACAGATTATGTACTTGTTATACGTTGTGATACATTTTTTTTTCTTGAGAGGCTTTTGCTATAGGAAACATGAGCTCACCAGAAAGACAGAGAGAGACAGAGAGACAAAAAGTGAGAAATCACCCCCCAGGGAGGATGGCTACACCACATCCCTTAACCTTCATTCTCCTCTTGGAATCTTGGGCACGCACGCACATGCACCTGGCATGAGTTTAAGCCACCGAGTCTGGGACTTGAACCGCGGTTAGCTACATGGGAGTCCAGAGACATAGCCATTATGCCAACTGCTGGTACAGATACGTTTTAAATCCTCAAAAGATAACAATTGCATTTAATAATTTCTGTGCATTATGAAATGTGGGAATTAGTGAATATTAGTTGAACCAGTTATATTAACTTCTGAATATACTGAATATTTCTGTTAATGCAAAGAAAAAATAAGTGATACCTTTCCAAGCACTGTCAGCTGCTGAACTAAAAGATGAGCACTTTCAGTCTTTCCAGCACCACTTTCCCCAGAAATAACAATGCACTGCACAGTGAGAAAAGAAAACCATGTTGAGACTCTATCCTCGCAAACTCAGAGGGCACACGAGAGATAAACAGGGAGAATTTTAAGAGTGTGAGACTCTCTTACCTGATCTGAATGATACGTTATCATGGACTGATATCCTAAGTCAGCCATGGCGAAAATGTGAGGAGGATTGGCAGTTCTCTTTGCTCCAACATATAGTTTGGACTGCTAAAGTTTAAAAAATATACACATGTTAAAAAGAAAAGTGGCACTTTTTGGTTTTGCTTTTATTTAAAACATAGATTATTCATAGATATAGTCCCAATTTTCAAAGTAAAAATAAATTCCATAGCACCACAACATTATTACATACACGTGACATGCACCACACATACATGAACAAATTATGCACAATTACATGAAATAAAAGCATGATATAAAATAGCTGAGAAATATGACATGACATAAAATTAATCACTCTGGTACTTAAAAGATTCTGCATATCACTTCCAAAGAAGAACTTGTGGTTTAAAAATAGTATTGGTTATTCAACTAAAAGGACACTTTTAGATAAAACAATCAAGTATTATTTTGTTGATTACTCTCTGGAGTAACTATGACCATTGTTTATTTTCCTTTCACTTCATTTAACATACACTCTCTTGTTTGATTAGTCCGAGATCGTTCAGTTATCTGGTAGCAGAATTGCACCGAAGCCTAACTTCTGAAATTTAGGTCAAAGTTTATAGATTTGCCGTTATTACTATAAATTTTAGGATAGTAGAGGATGACAGAGATAAATATTTTCACATAAAAAATAACTATTAAGTATAGTATTATTTTCTAGAGTACAAAAATCTAGAAGAGAAAAATGGGGGACCATCAGTTGGGATAATGGCTATGCCGTTGGACTCCCATGTAGTCAACAGCGGTTCAAGTCCTGGACCCAGTGGCTTAAACTCACGCCAGGCACATGTGTGTGTGTGCCCAAGATCCCGAGAGGAGAATGGAGGAGAAGGGACTGTGACATGGCCATCACCCCTGGGTGGTGATTTCTCACTTTCTGTCTCTCTGTCTCTCTGTCAAGCACATGTGCCCTATAGCAAAAACCTCCCCAAAAAAAAAAAAAAAGAAGAGATCAATGGGACCAGGAGATGGCATAGCAGTTACATCACTGGTCTCCCACATAGTCCACTGCGGTTCAAGTCCCAGACTCGGTGGCTTAAAACTCACACAATGTATGTGTTCGTGTGTGTGCATGTGTGCATGCACTTGCATGAACCCAAAATCTGGAGAGAAGAATGGAGGAGAAGGGACCGTGGAATGGCCATCACCCCTGGAGGGGTGATTTCTTGCCTTCTGTCTCTCTGTCTCTCCAGTGAGCAAATGCACTCTATGGCAAATCTCTCTCAAAAAATATGTAGAAAAGAGCAAGACCAAGTAAAAATGAAACAAATATTTAAATCTAAATGATGACAGAAAACGTAAAAGCATGCCCAGCCACTGGTGCAAGAACTAGAGCATCACTGTGCAGGGCTGGGGTCACAGGGAATTATAGGTTCTAGTCTCAGACCAACCTAAGGGCTGGGTGCAGTCGTTTGTGCCTGTAAACCAAACCAGTTGAAAGGCTGGAGCAGGAGAATTGTGATAATGAAACTCTGTCAAAAATACCTATCTGTGGGCTGGAGGGTGGTGCAGTGACACCCTGCAAGGCTGGACCTGTGTGGGAAGGTCTTGGGTTCACATCTGGAGACTTCCAGAAAATAATGATAAGTATATAGTCATAGTCATAAAACATATTTTAGGATATTAATAGAGGTGATCAAATGTCAGAGGAATTTTTTAGTTTTTGTAATTATTTTCTGCCAGAGAGGGAGACAAAAGAGAGAAAGAGAGTCACCCCTAACAGGGTCCCCATGATACAATCCACTCCTAGCCCTAGCCACCCAGGATCCCAGGCACACGTGCATGTGCTCAGTGTACACAGGGAGATCTTTGGACCCCAACCTGGGACCCTCCCACGTGGCCTCAACATCACAGAGTGCTGTGCCATTGCTGTGATACCACAGCTGGCCCAAAAGGAATTTTTAAACTCTCTATTGACAAGCTATATAGGCATTAAGTATGTACTATACACATATAATCTAACACGGCTGGCCCCATAGTGCAGGGGTTAAGTGCTGTGCAGAAGCCAGACCCCACATGGACGACATCAGTTTGAGTCCTGGTCTTGGCAACATGCCAGGTGTATGTGTGCATGTGTCCAGGATCCTGAAGGTGGACAGATGCTGGAAAAGGGATTATGGTCTGGCCGGGCCCCGTTGGTGAGAGTTCGCTCTTTGTCTCTCTTGGACACACACAGCTTCAGACAAGAATAATAATGTAATCATGCTCCCGATTCTCCTATACTTGGTTCAGAGGCAGACGTTAAGTGTACACAGTTTAAGGCCTCTGTTTTAAGATGAAGTATAGCACAGTTACCATAAGTGGATGCAACTGGCCTCTGACACACTTTTGGAAGAAGGGGGACCACAAATTGCACTTTCATCTTCCATTTTTCCTATCTGTATGTTTTTAAAATAATTATATGATTGTTCATTTAAACACTAGATAAAATTTTATTAGCATCTATTTACATTAATGATGTAAATAGAATAATTATTTATACAAGGGGGATGTAAACCATACCACATACCTCTCTGGAATAAAGATCCAGACTCTGAAAAGGGTTAAGAGCAATGAGGATGTCTCCCACATAGATATAGATCTGATCTCTGGAATAACACTTTTCAAGGTGCTCTGAGACTGTATTCTGTAGTAAAATAAAAACAAATTCTTGCTCTTAAAAATAATGTGTAGTCAATTACAATTTAAAAAGTAAATAAAACAAAACTTCTGAAATTGGACAAAGGAAGAAACAGACATAGTTTGACAGTTAGAAATGCAGCTACCTTCTGACCTGACGGCATTTTCTTTAGTTTGAGTGCTAGAGAAGGAATATACACGAGCCTTTGCTTAAACATTGGCCTAATGAAGCAAGTGAACATTTCAGAAAAATAACTTCCTAGTTGATAAATCACATGATTATATTAACCAGATTCAATCGTGTCAGAAATCATCATTTATGGCACGTGACACAGAGAGGAACAAAAGATCTTAGGTCACAAAAGGGCCAAAAAGTAAAACAGACAACAGAAATAAACAAAGTAGGTATTTAATACAGTTAACCCTCCATATCTGTGGTTTCCACATCCACAGCTTCAACAGCCTGTAGATGGGAAATGTCAGATACTTGGGGTTGTGTCTGGACAGACTTTCTCTTCTTGTCCTTATTCCCTAAACATTACGGTATGATAACTATTTACATAGCATTTAGATTGTTCTAGCAATCTGGAGGTTATTTAAAGTATTTAAAGGGATGTGTGTAGGATGTTTTCAAATATTGGGCTGTAGGAAAAGTTATGACTTATTTTTTCCATATTTTTCTATGCAAAAGTGTGTCATGACTTTTCCAACACCCCAATACCATGCCATTTTATATAAGACACTTGAGCAGGGACTTGAGTTCATAAACTTTCTAATTTTGTCTGAGGAAGTATTAGGCCACTGGTGGTCAAGTTATGGTAATTAAAAAATCATTATTCAGCAAAACTTATCAGAAAAAATAACCACATTATGAATTTTCGAATGGATTAATGTACATAGAAAACAGATTTTGGTATCCACAGGATATCCTGAAACAAATCCCCTGCAGATAACTGTATATTAATACACTGGTTGGTCAGCAACATGACTGAATCCTTCTTTATAACATACAAGCCTAGGAATTCATGTCTTTAGAAAATTTAATACAGAAGGATTCAGAAAGAAATTCAATTATAAGGATGGCAATCTGACTTGCAAACACGATTTGATGTGATGTTTGATGCTTCTGAAAGAGGTTATTTTCAGAAAACACCTGAGTTATCTATGTAACCTCAAATTACCGAATGAAGACTTCTGTTCAGAACAAGCCTTTGATGTGTTGCATTTTTGAGGAAAATGGTTAGGCACATATCAGAAGTACTACAAAATAAAGAGCTATTCATCAGGTAGTCCTACCCTTCTACTGAAAAGAGGCCATTTGTTTCTCTAATGATCTGATTATATGGAGTAAGGAGGGATGAGGAGAAAGGAGGCTGGGACTATCATTTACTGGCTTGAATTGGTATCTTCACAAGAGATACTTGCAGTTTCTTTTTTTTTTTTTTGGAGAGATTTTCACTGTAGGGCGCGTGCTCTCGCCAGACAGACAGAGACATAGAGACAGAAAGCGAGAAATCACCCCCCAGGGGGGATGGTCACGCCGCAATCCCTTCTCCTCCATTCTCCTCTCGGGATCTTGGGCACGCATGCACACGCGCCCGGCGTGAGTTTTAAGCCACCGGGTCCAGGACACGAACCGCGGTCGACTACGTGGGAGTCCAGCGACATAGCCATTACGCTAACTGCTGGTTCCCGAGATACTTGCAATTTCTGAGGTAACTGGAAGGAGGAGTGCAAAACAGAATTCAGTGTCCTAAAACGTGAGTGGTGTGAGAGCGAAGGCTCTATGATTTCAAGAGGCATCCCGACCATTGTAACAGAAAAACTCTTTTGGTATCATGGAGGTTTCTGGGTATGGCTGCTCAGAGCTGAAACAGGAGAGGAAGAAGAGGGAGGATGCCACAGTGGTGGTAGGAGGCAGACTCTTGTTTTGAACACAGTAAATCATAACTTTGAGACTCAGAAATAATTAAGAGCAGGAACTCCTAATAACTCATAGTTGGGGGATCTCACACCTTTGTCATATGAGAATCAAACAAAAAAAATGATATGAGGCTGAAAAGATCTAGAAAATTATTATATGCTAAAACCAAAGATAGAAGAAAGGGGTCTGCAAACGGCATGGGAGGATATTACTAAATTAAACTATTTTGACTTATAACAGCCACTGTACTCCCACACTTTAATTCCTATGAATAAGCTGAAATCATACATATTAGATTGCTTTTCTGAGCTGTTTACTAGGTTACAGCCAATCACAAAAGGTAGGCTTCAGTCAATTACAGGCATTCTGCCTTTTAAACCATATTAATACACACAAACTTCAAAAGATAATCAATAATTTCTCTACCTCACTCCCTCACTTACATTTTTTATATGACACTTTCTTATTCTACCTGACTTAAATATGAGTTGAGCACAAGATGCAGTTGTCATCAAAAAGTCCATGGACGGGAACCGGCAGTTAGCGTAATGGCTATGTCACTGGACTCCCACGTAGCTGACCGCAGTTCGTGTCCTGGACCCGGTGACTTAAAACTCACGCCGGGCACGTGTGCGTGCGTGCCCAAGATCCCGAGAGGAGAATGGAGGAGAAGGGATTGCGGCATGACCATCCCCTCTGGGGGGTGATTTCTCGCTTTCTGTCTCTATGTCTCTCTCTGTCTGTCTGGCGAGCGCACGCGCCCTACAGTGAAAATCTCTCTCAAAAAAAAAAAAAAAAAAAAGGGAACCAGCAGTTAGCGTAATGGCTATGTCACTGGACTCCCACGTAGCTGACCGCAGTTCGTGTCCTGGACCCGGTGACTTAAAACTCACGCCGGGCACGTGTGCGTGCGTGCCCAAGATCCCGAGAGGAGAATGGAGGAGAAGGGATTGCGGCATGACCATCCCCTCTGGGGGGTGATTTCTCGCTTTCTGTCTCTATGTCTCTCTCTGTCTGTCTGGCGAGCGCACGCGCCCTACAGTGAAAATCTCTCCAAAAAAAAAAAAGTCTATGGACAACTGCCCAATTTAAATCATATTAAAATTTGCTCTATTAAAACTATATTAAATTCATTAATTTATTTTTCTTTTAACACATTGCTGGACTCTCACATGGGCCAACCATGGTCCAAGTCCCAGACCTGGTGGCTTGAAAATCATGCTAGGGGGAACCAGCAGTTAGCATAATGGCTATGTCGCTGGACTCCCATGTAGTCAACCATGGTTCGCGTCCTGGACCCGGTGGCTTAAAACTCACGCCGGGCGCATGTGTGTGTGTGCCCAAGATCCTGAGAGGAGAATGGAGGAGAAGGGATTGCGGCATGACCATCCCCTCTGGGGGGTGATTTCTCGCTTTCTGTCTCTATGTCTCTCTCTGTCTGTGTGGCGAGCGCGCATGCCCTATAGCGAAAAACCTCTCCAAAAAAAAAAACAAAAAAGAAAAGAAAAAGAAAATCATGCTAGGTACGTACATGCCCAAGATCCCTACAGGATGGAGGGGAAGGGATTGTGGCATGGCCATTCTCCCTGGGAGGTGATTGCTCACTTTCCCTCTCACTGTCTCTCTGGGTGTGTGTCTCTCTCTTTTCAGTGAGCGCACACACCCTAAGGCAAAAACCTCTAAAACAAAAATAAAAAAAAATTAAAAATAAGTAAAACCAAAGAAAGAAGAGAGAGAATTAGGATGGAGAGACAAAGGAAGCATGAAACATAGATGCTAGTCAGAGAAGCTCCTACTCACATTAGCTATAATTTTTTTTTTAAAGAATGTCTAAGTTTAATGAAACTGACGTCTTACCTCATCTAAAACTTCTAGGGTTGCTAAGTCATCTACCTCCTTCAGACTGGAAATCAGAGACTGGTTGATGTTACTTTTCTTGGTGTGAATACGTTCGTGTCTGTGGAGAAAAAGCCCTTTTCAATTTAAGAACAAATTAGTGATCATAGTGGAAGTAAGTTTTAGATACCAATGAGACCAAAAAACCTCTATGAACCATTTACTAAATTCAATGATAGGATAAAAAAACCTTAGTGTATTTGATCTCTGCTGTTTAGTTTTTCTTCTTCATTGGAAAAAGTACAACATATAAAACTTACTTCATGAATTACCAAGTCTGTAATTTCTACCAAGAATAAACCTATATCTAATTTGCTTTAAAGATTCCTTTAAATTCCTATGTATGATTTAATCTGTTACAAAGCAGTGAGTCTGAAAGATTTGAATACATTATATTTATGATTTTGTCTAAGGTAGTGTTAGGCCATGGTGGTCAAGGCAGAGAAATTTAAAAAATCATGGTCTAGGGCACCAACAGATAGCATAAGGGTTACGTTGCTCCACTCCCAAGTAGTCAACCGCAGTTTGAATCCTGGGCCCAGGGACTAAAAACTATGCTGAACATGTGTGTGCATGCCCAAGATCCCGAGAGGATTATGGAGGAGAAGGGATGTGGTGTGGCCATCCCTCCTGGGGTGGGGGGGAGAGTGATTTCTTACTTTGTATACACAAGTCTTTCTCTGTCTCTCTGGTGAGCCCATGCATCCTAAAATCTCTCTCTAAAAAAATTGTTATTCAGTAAATTGAATAGGAATAGGAATACAAAATCATCACATTATGAATTTTAAAACAGTTAAATGTATATAAAAAATAAATTTTAGGTATTAGAAAGTTTATTTTCCAAAGTAAAACATTTCAGCAACTTTCGAAAACAGTGTAACAATCTCGATTTAACACAAAGGCTAGAAAATTTGTGATATAAACACCGTTTGTTAAGACTTTTCTGGACATCCATTTTGTTTGAAGAGAACTGTATTCTTAGTGCTTATTTTTGGGCCTATTTAAGCGTCTGGATTTGTCAATTTGTTAAAGGGGAAGGAATACATTATAATGGTGATTAAGAACCATGACACTCTAGAAACATTAATGGTATCTTACTGCTTAGAAAATAAGTCTAATAAAAAACTTTCCCCTGTCTCAGACCAGTCACTTCTGTGTACTAGTGTCCAACCCCTCTCATTCGCTAACGAGTATCATTCCTCCTACTTCTTCTCTCAGCCCTCCATTATCCACTTTTTCCTCTCAGCCCCTCACAAACAACAAACTGTCCTCCCTGACTACCAGTTTCCTTCATCTACTCTTCCATCTCTTTGTTGTATAGTAAAAATCATCAAGAGATCTCTTCTGTAGTTGATTCCTCAGGTTTTCATCTCTACACTCCATGGAAAGAGCTTTTGTTAAGGACATGGATAACTTCACATTACTAAATCTAATGGTCAATTAAAAAGCAGTTTTCAATTTACTTAGCAGCAGCATTTGCCAAATGCCTCCGTGAATTCATTTGTCTTTGTTTCCTGTACATCTGTCTTGATTTTCTTACTTATCTCACTGACATCTTCACCTGAGTATCTTTTTTCTGGTTTCTCCTTTTCTTTCACTCATTTCTCATAAAAGTTTTCTACCCAAAGATAGGTACAGAGTCTTATTCACATTTGCAATTCTTAATTAGATTCCTCCATAATAATTTTTGTAGTACATACCCAAATTCCTAATTATGCACTGATTTGTGTTTATAATTTAGCTAATATTTGAATTCCTTACTCTAAGCGTTAAGAACTGTGAGAAAATGTCTTTAGTTTCCCACTGTGGCCCATAAACAAGTGGGTTATTTAGAACATAATAGTTCCTCAATAAATATTGGTTGAATGAATGAGTGAATGTATAGCCCCACAACTTCTGGTGTAGAATTTGTGCATAGTTGGTCTCCACATTTGCTTAATTGAACAGGTATTCACTTCCTTATCCTTCTGTTTCCAAAGAGAGTCACAAAACTATTATCATTTTGATATATTTTTAAGAAAATGGGGAAGACAACTACATTATCCATTTAATTGAAACAAGAGGTCTGAATTTTTTTATCTGCTTCCTATGGATCCATATGACAGCTAGGCCCTTCCTAGAGAATGACAGAGTAAATGGTGAAGGACAGGGGAATCAGTATTTGACTGGCTGGAACCCTCACTCTTTCATTTCTATGAATTCATCTCTGTGATATTAGCTTTTGGTATTAGCTTTGAAAAGCTTAGAGGAAATTCAATCACTAAGATCATTCAAAAACCTCGGATCCACCCCCCCTCCCCCATCTTCTATAGTACAACTACACACTTTCTTGGCATAGAATTTATGGCTTTCACAGTCTTGCCCCAACCAACCATTCCTCCATATTTGCCCGTCATCTCAGTACAGAACATGTCCACTATGCCAAGTATTTTCAAGACCTGATACTCTACTCATTCCATTTCCTCTACCTGGAGTTATTTTATTTCCAGGCCTGGGAAGAGTCTACCTGTAAAAGGGTCAAATTCATCCTCTCTGTGGAGTCACTACAGAACTTTCCAGAGAGAATACCCTACAAGTAGAAAAGTTTTCACATTTAACCAGATCTATGTGTTCACTGTTCCTGTCAGCCTGGAAATCTTGTATGTAGAAATTAAGTGTCATTCATCTGTGTGCCTGAATACAAGGCTGTACGAGACAATTGGTAGCCTGCATCTTCATCATTGCCTTCAGGTGCTGTCCATGTTTGCCTGAAACAAATGGCATATTTGGAGGCTTGTTTGGGAAAAAAAAAAAAAAAAAAAAAAAAAAACTTTAAAAAATTTTTTTTGTATAATATTTG